CCCCAAAACCCCAAAACCCCAAAACCCCTTCAAATATGAAACTTATTGAAAATATAATATTTACTAAAATGGATCTTATAATCAAATGCCTTAGCACAGTAAGTTACAGAGGAGTTATTCTTGGTTTTCTTTAACCCCAAAGTTTGAAATTTATTAGAATTCTCACAATTTTGGTGAGGTGTAGGATAAGAAAATACTGTTTTATAAATTCAAATAAATAAAATATAATGTGATATAAATAATGCAAGTAATGCTAATAATTTAAGAACAACCAACTCATTAGGGAGTATAAATTATTAACAACCTGTTGGTATCCTTCATGGACCAGGATAAAAGCTAGTCCAAGCTAAGTCTAGAGTACATCAGTACTCTTAGTGCATCAAACTTGTCAGATGGATATTCATAATTATTGGGGAACTAAAAGCTATTACCTGTGCTCTCAAATTTTTAGATAGTGAAGAGATAGATATTGAGCCAAATGAGCCAAAAATGAAGGATAATGATATATAAGTCCCTACAGGCCTACTTGCTTTTGCACATTTCCTTTGCATACTATCTGCTAGTTTGATAATTTTAATGAGATACCTTTTCATCAAAACTTCAAAAACTCCAACCAAATGTTCAACACGGAATCTTTATAAGAAGACCTCCGAAACCATACTTGCACAGTTCCTCTTCCTTATCCTTGCTCATCTAGTCGTCTTCATTGGCTTTGGAATGGCATTTGGTGAATGGCAAACTCCTTTAATTTAGATGGATCACATTATTTAGGATGAAAGATGAAAGAAGATCACCAAGAGAATATAGACTCAAACATAAGAGTAGTGAAAAGAATTCTATATCAAGAAGCGTGATAGAAGAGAAAGATTTGACAATGATAATTTAAGAAAGATGGAAAGCATCTCAGCTATAGTCTTTATGACCTTAATGATGGTATTCTCAATCACTTGCTGCTGTGTTATCATGTATTCTGCTTGCATCTTATGAGAACTTTACAAGTATTGCCACAGTGCGAGAAAGCATAAAATCATTCAGGACTTGCCATCAGTTAATCAAATAAACATGCAACAAATACCTCACTACCAATCTCATTCTCAGACCCATAACTCTGCTGGAGGGATTGTAAGAGGCCTTATTGTTGCTACTCCTCTCTCTATCAACAACCCATAAATCAACCTCATAGTTCGTATAGCTTCAGAATCAATTGTTCATAATTTTTATCCATTTGTCTGTTTCACTGTTACCAAACCTCACAAAAACCTACCCATCTAAATTCAAACTTCTACTTTTCAATCTAGGAATTAAAATTGCCAAAATTTACAAAAATATTTTCCTCTTAAAATCCCCAATTCCTCATCTCAACTGAAACAAGAGTAAGAAACACAAGGCAGCACACCCTAAAACAAGTATTTCACTTACAAATTTCTGAATAAATTCGAGATCTTTAACCTTGAAAACTAAGCTGTTAGAAATTTTATTTTGGGAATGACATTTTTAAGGTTTAGAGGGAGATTTTGAAGATTTGGGGGGAATTCAAGAAATGGTAAACAGTCATAGAACTTTCCTTCCTTGATAGGGCAGTGGGTGGGATGTAACAAAAATTCCACAACCAGTCGGTATTGTTTGAGGAGAAGAAGAGCTGGTGTCTAGAAGAAAAAGAAAACTGTGCAGATGTGCTCTATTTATTAGAGTTTTTGAATGTATTGATCTTGCCATTGCATTGATCAGATCTGTCTTTTCTGGACTTAAGTTCTTCTATGATATACTGAAGTTAAATTAAGAATAGAAGAATATTAAATTGAGAATAGTTAAATTTTTTCTAAAAGAGGATGTCTAGCCTTATTCTATTTCTTTTACTATAGTTCTTTATATATCTCGATTTTTATCTTATCTATTTATTATAAAATCATATAGCCTACAAGAGCTTCAACCTGGAAGCTCTGGTAGTGTATTTTTTGTTCTTCCTTTTTATTTTCTATGGCTAATCCTGTCTCACATGTAACTCTACATTGGCTTGAAGGATAAAATAGCCGTAATGTAAGCAATTCATATTTAATAGCCTATCTTCTTATAGAAAAAAGAATGCAAATAAACCTCTTCTGGAATTGAGGAAAAATACAGAGAAGAAGTCACAAATATAGCTACAATGGAAGCAATAATTACCTTTGCTATCCCATGTATAAGCTCTTGTATTACTTCAACTCCCATTCTTTCAGGGGTTTATAAATACCACATTATTGTCAAAGAAAAAGGTATATATTGTGGCTTACTCTCAATCAACCTCACAACAATCCAACCAATCCCTTAGATCAAATCCTACCCCAAAATGCAAGACCACTACAAAAAATTATCAGAGGAGAAGTTATCACCCTTCCCACCAAAGAACAACCCAAAACCTAATTCCTTACCCCAAATTTTCAAAATCATTCCAAAATTAACATTCTACCCTATTTCCCCAAATAATCACTTATCAAATCCACTATTTTAACCTCCGAATTTTCCTACTGCCAACCCCCCAAATTCCCTACTCGTTCGCCAAAAATCCCTTTTAAGCCCTAAACCTGGTCTCTAAAGCTCCAGTAATACCTCCTCCCAAGACCCATTTTTAGCTAATTTGATGTATTTTCTAGGAATTTTTAATTCAGAAAAATGCCTGCCACTTCTTGCTTAGTGTTCTTTCCAATTTGGTTAGATAGCATCGAAAGCTCGACCGGTTGGTTGACTTGGAACTGAAGGTATTGAAGGCACTGGTTTTTCTTGAGTTTCAGCACTGGTAGTCTTGGTGCAAGCATGCTTGATTATGAAAAATATTGGAACGATGATCATAACAGCCACTATCTCAGAGACAATGACAATACCCAAAATTACTGTGCTACATTTGTCTAGTTCATCATAGCCAAAACATCCATCACTGCTTTCAGTTCCAGTAGCATTTCCATTTGATTGACTTCCTCTTGAGCTCCCTCCGAGGCTTTCTCCTGAACTTCCTCCTGATACGGTAGTGACATTTAAAGTGATAGCTGTGTCGAAAGTTTTGGTACTTTCATCAATAGTAGCCCTGATAGTAAAGGAGTGAGTTCCATCGGTGCTGGGACTATTGTATGTCAGAGCGCAAGTTAAACTGTCGATTGATATCCAAGTTGGGACGGATCCTGAACCATCTACAGGATAATATTTCATATCTGGTTCAATAATGCCTGCTTCATCTGGGGTTTTGGGGTTTTGGGGTTTTGGGGTTTTGGGG